TATGATTTAAATACCCAGTGTTTAAAAAAACTGCCTGAATAAATGGTCTAATCAATTCGCCTTTTCTGTGGGTTGATATCGATGTAAATGTGTTGGAGATGTAGTTCATAGATTAATTGAATAGAATGGAAATGGCATTGTGATAGTTTCTGATATTGACAGAGATTGACATAACGATGCAACATAATATATTGTCATATAGGACTTCATAATATATGAATCCCAGATTGTTAATTCTTCTTTGCCTTTTCTAAGAAGTGCTTTAAATCCTACCTGCTTTATCCATGCTTGCTCAGATTCTGACGTTTGAAAAAGGAGGCAGGGAAGCAGAATAAAGTTTTAGCCTAGCCTTGTAGCTAAACCAGGTGCTGTAAAAAGACAGAGTGTACCGTCTCAGTCTGTCTTTGGACTGCTGATTAATTTTGATGTTCGGCTGATCAGGTCCGAATGGTTTCACCTCCAGCTTCTCTGGGTAAGTTTGCTTTAAGGGACTTAAACTTAAATTTTTCTGTCGCCATTTCTCTCTCTGCGACATCAGTTGTACTGTGACTGTGACGTCAGTTGTACTGTGACTGTGACGTCAGTTGTACTGTGACTGTGACGTCAGTTGCTGTATGCAGAAGAGCTGCGCACTGGGAATTCCAGTCCTTTTGCATTGCGGAGAAGCCACTGCGTATGTACAACTCAATGGTCAGAGATTTTTGCAGCCCTGGGCGGAAATATATCACCAATCCAACGAATGAAACGGCTTTAATCGACAATAAATATTTAACTCGCACATCTAAAAACTATATATTAATATATTTCAAAATATTCTGATTTTACTATTTAATTTTTATCTTTTTTTTATGTCTTAATCAATGTCCTTGGGTGGTTGGGGCAGCACCCTCTATGGGCCAGCCACCATTTATAGGTGATTTATACCCCTAATAATGAGATGGTATCCCTGGGAAATCTGCCAGATCTTAGTTTGATGATAGTTAGTTTCTGTTTGTTTTAATGAGACATAGGAGGAGGAGCTTAAAACTACTAAAGATGTATTCTTTATTTTTCTTTTAAGTTTTCTTGTTGAACAGGAGATACTCCAAATATTTAAGAGGAACTTTTTTCCATCAGGATAGAGTATGATTAGTGGGGATTTTTTATTGGTTAAACTTTGACCATTTGGTGTTGAGTGAAGCTTCTTTATATAAACGATATTTGAATATATATTTTTCACCCTTCCTTTTTGTGAGCAGGGTTTTTTTATGTGAGGAGAAGAGGCACAATCCGATGTCAGTAAGAGAGCTGTAACTGTTTTGCTTTATATTTCTTATTGTCTAGAGCAGGGGTAACCAATTAAAAATTCAAATAAAGAAAATTATCAGTAAAGGTCTGGAGACATTTTTAAGTGCTTTTCGAAGTAGAGAGCAACAATTGTTCAGTTTGGTATATAGACAACTTCCTGATTCACATATTTTATGGCTTAATGAGAGCAGTGGGCTTTAGGCTGCCCTGCAAGGCTTTCGAACATGGGTTTCAATGGCGACAAAGCCATTCTCAAGCACATATCATGGTGCTCATTCGTTAGCCTGGATCGATATTTGTTTTTGATTATGGTCATGTTGGGTAATCCTGCTTCACAGTAGTAGGTTGAGCCAAACATACTCTAAATGTGCAGGGTCATCTTTAAGCAAACCATTTCACTTTTCTGTCACCAGTTTACTGCAGTTCTTCCAGCAGTCCACACTTTCTCTGCTCTTTTTCTCCTCATATTCTCCTTCTTTCGCACTGCATGGCTTGCAGTGACCCAGACTGACAGCTCATTGGCTAATTTGTATCACGTGCAGCCTGGTCCCGGAAGCTCTGCAGGGCATTACCATATTAACAGGAGAAGCAGTGCAAGTGAAGTTAGACACTGTCGTCGAAGAACATGCGGTTATTTATAAATGTTTTAAAATTAGGTTGGGTCCAGATTACCAGCAGGTGGGTCCGGAACGCGGTCCGCTAATCCTTGACCTCTGGTCTAGAGTACAGAAATTCTCCCTTTTAAGACTCTTGCTTTTTCTAGAGAGGAAGCAGCATTTCTAAATCCAGCATGTTTTCTTGCAGACAGGGGTTCAATGCTTAAAGTATAACTTTGTTTTGCTCCATTCAAGCTCCCTGTTATAGTAAGCTCTCTCTTTATAACGCTGACCCACAGCCACAACATTTTAGTGATCATTAAAAGTCCATAGCTGTATATTGGGTATTTATTCTCCAGGTGCACAGCTTTTATATTATTAAAACACTTATTGTATTTTATTGTTTATCTTTTAACTCTTCACTATTATGTTATGCTGATACATTTTCTTAAGGTCCATATTTCTGTGAACATTTTGTTCCTAAAATAATTTTTCTGCTGTAAACACCAGAATTTCCCTATTGTGGGAAAATAAAGGGATTTTCTATTCTATTATATTCTTTCTTACTTCAATATAATCTCGACACATATGAGGATCTGTGGATCCAGGACCCAGCAGTATTTCTACTGCATCAGAAACCAGCAAATTATTATTAATAATCAACCTGTATGATGTAGATGTCATTCAATTTAATGTCCCAAATGAGCCACTGTTGGTGCTTTTTTTGTAAAATATATCATAGAAGTAAACAAGTAATGAAATCTGACTCACACAACAGCCCCTCATAGGTTTTCAGGCATAATCATCAAACTGAGCAATGTGTGCATCACAGAAAATATTCGCTGTCAGCTTATCAAATACTTCGAGGTATTTCAAGTAGTGGCTTCACATTCAGTCCATTTCTTCCAGGATGAAGGTAGCCATGCATCTTGACATGAAAGTAATGGCTGCAATTTTTCTACTCTTATTGGGGTTTTTGTGCCTCGCTTCTGCATCTGCCACAGTTTCCAGCAGTTTTACATACTTACTGAACTCTTTCTTGGGTGTAGTTTGGTTTCAGAAGTGCCGTGTGCAACACACTCCCACACACAAGCTGTCATCTCTGGTAGATAGATGCTCTTTGTGTTCTGCCATGGTATAGCAGGGCACATCTGTCCTTGCTGTGTTACAGAGCATGGTCCTTCCTGAATACTAGAAACATTTATGGCTGCAGGTCTTAATTAGGCTGGCTTTGATTTGAGTGTATTTGTGAATGATTCACCATAAAAACACAGCCAATTAATGGTAAATAGATGCTGTTCATAGGCCACCTGCAGCAAGGATGCTGCGTTTGATGGGATTAAAAAAAAAACATTTTATCCTGGTTTAGCTTGACAGATTAGCTTTTTGGAAATCCTTCCACACCTTCCTAAATTCCACCTCTGCCTACAAAAGTGACCCTCTGTCGTGTGGTTGGAGGTATGTGTTTACCTGCGTGTGAGCGCCCCTTATTGCACGCGCCGGTGACAGAGTGGGGGCCGATGGTCTCGTTGGCAGGGCGGGGTTTAGGGTGACCAGATGTCCCGGTTTTTGTGGGGCTTTGCTGCATTTTCACTTCTGTCCCAGTGACCCACAAACTGAAATGATGCCTTTCTTTTGATTGGGTAAATAAAAAATAAAAAAAGTAAAAAAATAAATAAATCAAAGACAGTTTTCTTTAAGGGAAAGAAAGCAGAGCTGTAGTGAGAAGTTTTGTTTCCGTTACAAAGGGGAGTGGCGGCCTAGTGGTTAGGGCATAGAGCTTGGATTGCCACACTGGGTCTCTGATCAAGACCCCTAACACCACACTGCTCCCTGGGCACCCCACGATGGCAGCCCGCTGCTCCCCAAGGGGATGGGTTAAATGCAGAGATACATTTCTCTATTAATATTAAATGGGTACAAAAGTATTCTGTTAATTATAAAAATACACATTTTCACAATAACAGCAGTTTCTTTGAAAAATGGTACTAAGAAGGTTCGTTTTCGGTTGGGTTTGGCATGGTCTGGTTCAGTTTTGCGTGCCATTTACACTCAACAGTTATCTCGGTTACAAAAGGGTAGTGTAAATGGGGCTAATGACTGGTAGTGCTGCAGCTGAACCAGCAACTGGAAGGTTGCTAGGTGAACTCCTGCATCAGAGACCACTGTGGTCCAAATATTCATTAGTTATTCTATCATCATTCTATATGAGAAAATGATCTCTACAGATTAATCAACTAAAGTTAATGAAGAAAAATTCTGACCAACTCTCTCTGGCAATTTAACCATTTAGAACTGTAGCTGTTGGAAATACACACATCCAATACATTCATTTCATGCCTAATTGCTTTTATGAGAAAAAAGTAAAATTATACCTGGGAGTGTTGGGAATTCTGACAGTGCTGCTGTGGGGAAAAATCTGGGCAATGTAACAATATGTATCAATATCAACAGAAAAAAAATGTCTAGAATAATTTAGCATTTCTCTAAAGTCCAGAAGCACACTGCCAAATGGAAGAGAAAGTTGCAGCTAGTATGTAGATCCATGCAGGCAAGTAGAATTAAGCCCTTTCCCCTGCATCAGTAACAGTAAAGTCATGCAACAATAGACTCTGGACATGCAAGCTTTCAAGCTCATGAAACCCTGGTTGGAAAAAAAAACGGTTATGATTATTGGCAAATATGTTCCTGCATTTAAACACTGCTTCTTTGACCTGTTTTTATTTCCATCTTGGTGAATAAAGCTGATTCTGATACTGCTCTATAGTGAAGGTACATTGACCCAAGTTTTACCTCATTTGGCTTTTATGATGGACTCTTTTCTTATGAACCATTTTATTACATTGATGCTGTTTTTTTTTAAATGATAAATTTCAGATCTACATAGATAAAAAAAAAAGGCTTCTGAAATGATCTGTAAGTTTTATTGAAAAGTCATTATCCTTTAAAAGGTGTGCTGCTTAATGCAATAATGTCTGATTATTAGGAAGTGTTTGTGCAATCCGCTGCTGTTGTAATACATGGTACCTTGTTCTAACCAACTTTGTGTTTGCTTGTCCGTGTTTTATGTATACATAAACACAGTGCTGCAACTGTTTGTTCCGTCTGTCTCTCCAGGGTGAGAGCAGCCATGTCAGAAGAGGCGGTGCGTCAAACGCGCAGCCAGAAGCGGGCTCTGGAGAGGGACCATGCAGCTCTTGGTGGTTCCCTGGGGGACGTTGATGGCAAGCGGGTAAAACTGGAGCGAGGTGATGCAGCTGGGGCCCCGCTGGCCCATGTGGGACCTGTAGCTGAAGGCATGAAGCTGAAGAGTGAACAGGCTGCTAAGGTAGCAGCAAGCATCCTTAAGACCGGGGAGGTGAAGGCTACCATCAAGTTGGAGGTGCAGACTGGAGACGAACCTGTGGACATGAGCACATCCAAAAGGTGAGATGAGGAAATTCTGCTGGTTTTGGTTTCAGCAGAAGTAATTGCACAAACTGGCCTTTCCTTTGATATCTTAAGAATCTTCAAGCTCAGTTGAACAAATTTATGAACAAATTTTTTTTATCTAAATAAGTAATTTTTTTGTCTTAGAATAAGTGCATTTTTTTGATTGAGGAGAAAAGTGAAACACTTTGCAAATGGAACAAGACAATTTACATTTAAAATGAGAAAAAAACTATTTGCATTGTCTTATATCAAGCTCATATTATCTAATTATCTTCTTTTAAGAGTAAAATACTCATTCCATTAGAAAAATCATCCTATTTACCTACTTAAATGAAGGAAAATACTTATTTTAAGAAGGTCTTACTTATTTCTAGATCTTTTTTGCAGTGTATAACTGGTATATAAAATAAATCAAAAAGAAACCCTTGATAGTAGAAACTAGGGTTGTCACGATACTAAACTTTTCAACTCAATACCAATACTAACGAAAATATTAAATACTCGATACCATTTTCGATACCAAAGGATAAAAACAAAGACTCCAAAATTCAAAAGAAATATTTTCATTAATAAATAAAATATGATAAATAAATACAGTAAACGATAAGAACAATGTTTTGAGGTTGTTTGCTGTGCACAGGATTAAACAAGCCTGATAAAAACTTACAAAACTAAAATTAAGTGTTCCTTCCTTGGCTATGCTTTGCACACATAACAATGGCACCTCTTACAAAAAAATGTCTGAAACTGAAAAGTGCACAGAATTATTCAATCACACAGTGTTCTTACAGTGCATTGTCCTCTATTCTGCACTTTAGATGAATGACTGCTTAGGTGCCACTGGTGGTAGCACTGTATCGATACTTTTAAAAACGACTATTGTATCCGGATACAACGTTTCAGTATTGATACTTTTTTGAGTAACGATACTTTTGACAACCCTAGTAGAAACCAGGCCATGTCAGGCACCAGGTCTTCATAATCAACACCAGCAGAATGCTTTTTGCATGATGAACAGTTGTAGTCTTTTCCTGTTCTCTGGGCCTTGATCTGCTTTGTCCATCAATTATGTCCCCTAATCTTAACCAGCATTTGCAAGAAACATTAGGAACCTTATTGCATCACATGTTTGTGCCTGGCTCTGTGCTTCCAAGGCCATGTTGGTCTTAAAGTAGGCAGAACTGCCGTTGAATCACCATCTTGAATGATGGGGCAAATGAGGTAAAGTGTATTTTTACATAGCTTGATGGAGAGTTCAGATCCAGTGTATTCTACTATAGGCAATGGATTGTCTGGAGGCGAACACAGCAGGGTGTTTTGCATAGAGCAGTGGAGTTTCAAGTTTCAGTGAAATTGCAGTAGAGCGAGTGGTCTGACAGGAGACGCACAGGAAGCCGCTGTGCGGTTGCCAGCAGCCTGCCCCCATTCTGAAAAACTTTTGAGGCTCCTAAAGGCCCAGGCTCCATTTTCTCCCACAGCAGCACCTGAACTCTGCCTTGTACTTCTCACAAAATGAAGGCTATGTGTCACAAACTGGTTCCAACTGGTTGTTACCATGGTTTCCACGTTGGAAGGAGCAGTTGGGAGGAAGGGAGGGGCCAGGAGTGGTGGGTGTGTCACATGACCACACAGAGAAATGCCTGATGTCATGTGATGTGTATTTGGTAGAGCGATAAACTCACAGTGATATGATAATGGTTGAAGTGGAACAGAGGCACCGTTACCACCTCACTACAGACAAGTGTCACCTTTGACCCCAGCTTTTACCCTCTCTCTTTATGTGCTTCCTTTCTGCAAAAGGGATTTTATTGATTGTTTATTTGCTGGCCTTTATCTCTGGATTTTAAGACAGTTTCAACCATGTCAAGCAATAATACATGATCTATACTGAAGCTTTATGATTATATAGTTGATGCTATATCCACTATACAGCACTGACCATATTTGATCCCATCTGTGTTTGATCAGTCGTCTTTTAATAGCCCGGCTGTTTCATTAACTTAAAGAACATTTAGATGAAATTGGCGCTAGACTGGATTTCATTGAACTCTGTATGGAGGATCCGTCTACATCTCAAAATGTCTGAATCAGCAAATCCTTAGCATGGGGGTCAGCGTAAAGCTATGGTCATGGAAGCTGAGGCATGCAGAGACACTGGACCTTACATAACCAAGCTGGCATGTGTTGTTGTGACGCTTGTGTAAGCTGTTCTCAATAGACGGCAGCAGCCTTCATCAGCCAGTCTGTGTCATGTTCATAATGAGGCCATTTCAGTCAACCTGCAGAGCAGCCATTAAGGGTCTGCCGTACATTAGGAAGTGCTCCAATCCCCAGTAATGCTGCCTACTGTAGTTCTTCGTCTACAGTTTTCTTTTACGCAGAATATAAATACAAGGAAGCAGAAATGGCCAAGGGTGAAATGTTTCTTTGAAAAGCAGGATTTTATGTAGAGCCATAAAAGTAAAGACACAAGTAAAGTATTTTATACAAAAAGTAAAGTATTTTATTATAAGGGTTGTATATAGCAACTAGAGTGACGGCAGATTGATGGGAACAGTTGACTCTGGGCTGAGAAAAGAGAAGAAATAAAATGAAGAAGTGAGTGAGTCGGAGTATAAAAGATGAACAAGTAAGGTGGGGGAGGGGTGTGTGAAGTGGTGACTGAGTGAGAGTGAGTGTACACAATAGGTTGGCTCCTGGCCGTGTATTCCCCTCCCCCCTCACTGTCACCATCTCCAGCGTCTCGGGCAGACCTCGACTCTGCTTCGCTTGTGACTCTTGTGTCGGCGGCTGGGAGGGTGGGGTGGGGGGTGAGCTTAGGCCCAGGCTGCGCTGATCCGGCTAGGCCACAGGCCTCACCACAGAGGTAGAGCAGGGTGAGGCCCTGTTTGGGTGATAAACTGTGTCTTCCCTTTAAGCCCTGGAGCCTCTGGCTTGTTGGTGAATGAACTTCAATAAAAGCTGACTGAGCATAATTTCACTTGGATACAAACATTTTAACACCATAACTTGCCTAAAGCTGTTCTCCCTAATTTGAACTGGAAGGCTACCCAGACTGAATTGGGCTATTTGCTACCACTGGTTTCATACCATTTTTGATCTGCAAGTTACACATGCTGTGAGTCACCTTTGAAGCCATTCTTTCACTTTAGCTCTAACTCTCAAGTGATGTTTATCAGGAGCACATTTTCTGTTTTAATTTTTTTTTACCCCGGGCAGATGAGGTTACCTTCTGCTGGATATATTCAGTTGTTGCAATCTTCCTTCACTGCCATTACCCCATTATTGATCCCTTGGTTCAAGTTGTTGCACACATTTGCTCTGCAATAATTATTACATACTGCCATCTACTGGATGAGAGAGACATATTTTGTTCAAATGAAAAGTCACTTTGAACATCCTCCGATTTATCAGCACCAGCATTACTCCAACAAAGTTATTTTTTCATAAAATGATTCAGTCTTGCTAAATATTCCATATATCAGCTTAGGAGACGACACTTAAACAGCTTGAAACAATGAATACATAAGGTCTAAAAGTTAAAAATGCAAAATGACCGTCAATGTTAGAATCTTTGATTAAACACTCAGAGCTTAGTTTATGGCAATGCTGTTAAATGTATAGGTTCTGCATCAGGCATGTATACCGGCTCCCTCCCACTGTCCAAACACCTAATCAGGAAGTTACGATTGTACTGTGTTTGCGTCTGACCACATGTCCCAACAACCTCAGCTGCTTCCTTCTAAAGCAGAAGGGGAGCAGCGTCAATCTGATGGCGCCCCCCTGTTGCCTGTGAAGTATGGCTGCAGCCTCCCCAGAGAGGAAACCAATTCTAAGAGTTTGTATCTAAATATCTAGAGGGCTCTGGCTGCAGACCTGAACTTTTTCAGGACCCTTCGTTGTAGACCTGCACAACGAGGTCTCCTGGACTGTCAGGACCGGATGTTTATTGCAGACGTTTTATTCAAAGCCTTCAGAAATGGCGTGTATTTAGATATTCAGCAATTCCCTGTGAGAACACAGAGCTAAGTTAATTTGAAATCACACACCCTCCATTGTCAAATCTCAACTGATGGCTCTTTTATTTCTAAATGTATCCACATTCAGTTGCCTATCAGTCTTTCAGGGTTGACTGTAAATATGCGGCTGTTCGTTGTATCAATGTTAGGAGAAAGACACACTTTGATGAAAAGCTGATGAGGGCTGATACCTAAAGGGCTAGTTATACTCACCGCAGAAGTATGCCGCAGTGAGCTTGATGCAGACATTTTTAATTTATGCTCAATTTTGAGCGTGGTCTGCACTATATGACCCCCACTTGCCCCCACTTCCGCCGAGGCGGTGAGGAAGTGGGGGCAAGTTTGTGTGACAATGGAGGGACATGAGGGCGAAAAAGAGCGGGGATCCCGGTGGAAAAAGGGTCCCAGCGTTCTCGCGCACCTCGGTCTACTAGCTGGTCCAACTTCACAAGTTGTTTTCCGCAGTTGCGATCATAAAAACAAAACAACCCAGCCTCCTGTCTACGGTACTGTCTGCGGTCACCTACAATTTGGAAGAGGTGCAGTTGAGTGTATGTGGAGGGGACGTCTCTGCATTCACCGCAACACCTACGCAGACGACCTAGTGTTTAAATACTCCCGTCTTAAACAGTGATGCACTTACAGTGAGGAAAATAAGTATTTGAACATCGTGCTGTTTTGCAAGTTCTCCCGCTTAGAAATCATGGAGGGGTCATCGTAGGTGCATGTCCACTGTGAGAGATGTAGTCTAAAAAAAAATCCAGAAAACCAATGTATGATTTTTCTAACAATTATTTGTATGATACAGCTACAAATAAGTATTTGAACACCTGAGAAAATCAATGTTTATATTTGGCACAGTAGCCTTTGTTTGCACTTACAGAGGTCAAACGTTTCCTGCAGTTTTTCAACAGGTTTGCACACACTGCAGGAGGGATTTTGGCCCACTCCTCCACACAGATCTTCTCTAGATCAGTCAGGTTTCTGGGCTGTCACTGAGAAACACAAAGTTTGAGCTCCCTCCAAAGATTCTCTATTGAGTTTAGGTCTGGAGACTTGCTTGGCCACGCCAGAACCTTGATCTGCGTCTTCTGAGCCACTCCTTGGTTATCCTGGCTGTGTGCTTCAGGTCATTGTCATGTTGAGAGACCCAGACACAGCCTCGACCGATCTTTAATGCTCTAAGGGAAGGAGGTTGTTCCCCAAAATCTGGCAATAAATGGTCCCGGTCATCCTTTACTTAATACAGTGCAGTCGCCCTGTCCCATGTGCAGAAAAACCCCCCAAAGCATGATGCTACCACCCCGATGCCTCACAGTAGGGATGGTGTTCTTGGGATGGTAGCCATCATTCTTCTTCCTCCGAACATGGTTAGTTGAATTATGACCAAAAAGTTCTATTTGTTCTCATCTGACCACATGACTATCTCCCATGACTCCTCTGGATCATCCAAATGGTCGTTGGCAAACTTAAGACGGGCCTTGACATGTGCTGGTTTACCAGGGGATCCTTCCGTGCCATGTATGATTTCAAACTATGACGTCTTGGTTTATTACCAACAGTAACATTGGAAACGATGGTCCCAGCTCTTTTCATTGACCAGCTCCTCCCGTGTAGCTCTGGCCTGATTTCTCACCTTTCTTAGGATCATTGAGACCCACCAGGTAAAATCTTGCATGGAGCCCCAGTCCAAAGGAGATTGACAATCATGTTTAGTTTCTTCCATTTTCTAACAATTGTTCCAACAGTGGACCTTTTTTCACCAAGCTGCTTGGCAATTCTCCCGTAGCCCTTTCCAGCCTTGTAGACGTGTACAATTTGGTCTCTAGTGTCTTTGGACAGCTCTTTGGTCTTGGTGGTGTTAGTAGTTGGATTCTTACTGATTGTATAGGGTGGACAGGTGTCTTAATGCAGCTAACCTCAAACTGGTGCATCTGATTTAGATGATAAATGGAGGGGAGGCGGACATTTTGAAGGCAGAATAACAGGTCTTTGAGGATCAGAATTAGAACTAATGGGTGTTAAAATACTTATTTGCAGCTGGATCATACAAAAAATAGTTTTTAAAAATCATATATTTTGATTTCTGAATTTTTTTTTCTTTGTTTCTCACAGTGGACATGCACCTACAATAACAATTTCAGACTCCTCCATGATTTCTAAGTGGGGTTCTCTTTGAGGGTGCAGGGTGTTTAAATACTTATTTTTCTCACTGTATATTTCACCTTTTGCAACATCTATGGACTAGCTAGAAGGTCAGCCGGACAGTTGATAAGAGGATTCAGCGCTTATGGCTCTGAAATGTATTTTCCTTAGAATATAGACCTATATTTGTTACATATATAACTTCTGTATTTTCTCATGGTAAGGTCGACATTGGCGTGGAATTACCCTGTAATAAAATTGAATTATTGTATGTTGAATATTTTGTCTGTTGATTTGTACTTGATCGATTAATTATGGGATAGCGAAAGGTTCCTTCAAGAAGACTTAACAAAATGAAACCAGGTGAAACTAAATTTTTTCTCCTTGAGGAGTTCTGAATGGAGCATATTGACAGATGAAAAAGTTTTTTTTTATCTTAAATGCGAAATGTTTTTTTGTTTTTTTTTATAACAATCTTGGAATAATTACTGCTCTAACTGGTTCACTCTGTCAGCTAAAGGCATATTTTACAGCCTCTATACTCCAGTTAACAATTAAGCAGTTACTGAGTTGACGATTATTTCAATAATTGATTAATCACTATTTATTGTTTCAGCCCCATTGAATATGTAATGTTTATTCCCTCAGTGAGATTAAAAAAGAACGACAGCCACCTTCGCCAGATGACGTGATTGTGTTATCAGATAATGAGCCATCTAGTCCAGTCATGAACGGCCACTGCTTCACAAAGACGGACACCGACAAACTTATGGTAGGAAAACCAAACTTTACCGTTTGCTGAATAGAGGATTGCATACTCCTTTTTATCACTGTGAATGGAAACATAATTTATCAGTCCGTTTTCACTAAACTGTCCTATTTTCTTTCATGTATGCAGAAAAGCTCACCTGAGGAGAGGGAGCGCATCATAAAACAGCTGAAGGAGGAACTGAGGCTTCAAGAAGCCAAACTGGTCCTCCTCAAGAAACTACGACAGAGCCAGATCCAGAAAGAAAGTACAGTGCAGAAGGTAAATTCTCTAATATAGGCCCGGGCCTTTATTTCACTCAAGTGCATCGCGGTCCAGGCCTTTATTGGATAGAGGCCAGTATTAGAGACAGGCCTCTATTGCTATTTGAGCAAAACAGACTACCAGTGGAATTAATAAAAATGAGATTTTGTGTCTATTTGAACCTATAAAACACTATGTTCATTTATTGAAAAAGTACAGTTACCATGTCTCGCTTGGTTTGAAGTAAAAAAAAAAATAAAAATCCTCCAATTCTGTTTAATTCTCCTCCTCAGTTTCCTCCTCCTCTTCATCTCTCCCTTTAATCTCCTCATCACTCGCGCTGCTCCTCCTGTTCTGCTGCGTGTCTGTTCTCTTCCTCGCGCAGACGGGCAGCAGCAGGGCCTGTCGTTCAGCTGCGCAGGGCTGTGGTACTTGTATGTTACTACCACAAGTATAATGTTGAGGTATGCCCAGAAAAAACGTTTATAGCCCCGGCCTGTATTAGAGACCGGCCATTATTTACCTCCTCTGACAGCGAGACCGGCCATTATTAGAGACCCGGCCGCTATTGGAATACAGGCCAATATTAGAGAATTTACGGTATTTAGCTTATTTACTGGCTTTAAAAGGAATGAAAATAGGAGATGTCATGTTTTTGGGTTGTTGTTGTTGTTTTTTGGGGGGGTTATAGAACTGCACTGTTTGTTTAAATTTAGTTGCTTAGATGCAGCATCTGTTTACCTGTATAAAAAACCTGAAAAAGGCTTTAGTTTTTTCCCCATTCTTAGATGTAGTCCTTTGATTGTAACATCATACGGATAAATGATGTGTTTCTACTACCGCCTGTATAGAAGAAACATGAAGGCAGCATGTAGAGCAGGTTAAAGGACAATAAAGACTGTAAAAATGGAAACTAAACAGTAGCTTTTACAAAAGCCTCTGTGAAATAGTTGGAAAGCTTAATAGTCTTATGTTTGCTTAGTCTGATTTAAACAAATTCCTAAGAAAAAAACATCTAAACCATTTTTACAAGCTGAGCACTATAGTAGTAAAGGTTGAAATCAGTTTAGTTCAGTGGTGAAATGTATTGGTCTTTTTACAGTCTGACTTTTCCAATGCTAACTCATATATTTACCCGATCAGACAATATCTATAAGGGTGAGTTGTGCTTCAGTCTGGACATTTAAAATAACCGAATATTTGATTTGCAGGTTTGACTTTAGTTTTCTTCCGGACCACTCGATGGGTCATAAATTGGCCGCGGCTCGGCTAAATCAACAAAATAAGCTGGCCCATTGTTTTTTTTTTTTTTTTTTTTTTTTTGTTTGTTTGTTTCGTTTTTTTTATGTGGCTGACCTAAAACCTTCATGTCAGGTTTTATAACTGGCTGCAAAAATGACTGGGATTTGGCAGACAAAGTCACTCACAGAGCTGCACGGCAGTAATGAAAACATGATATGCTTTCTGTGCATACATTATATCGTTGCATAAAACTGCTGCCTTGTTGAAAGCAGGTTACTGTGTTTATTCTGAAGACCTGAAAACACTGGCAGCGTACGACTTTTTAATCTCTGATTTTCTTGTATAGAGAAGCTCTGACAGGAGGGTGATCAGATCTGTGTGGATTATTTTCTCTTATATCTCTGTGCTATACACAAATCAAAACAATTTCCAACGTTTGACTTGGACAGATTATGAAAAGTTATAAAAAAATAAATAAATAAACCAAAGACGCATTCTATAAAGCAAAGTCCCTTTTAATGAGTCTGTGCAGCATCTCTAACCAGAACAAGTGGAGAATTTTTATATATTAAAAACTTAAAGAGATCTAAATCTAAAGAAAAGAAAAACCCAGCGTGGGGGACGGCGTTTAGCAGTGGGGCGGTTTCTTTGCTGACTGAGGCTGTGAGGTGATTCTCAGAGAGCGATCTGGGAAGTTTATCTATATTTTTTTTTCTTCTTTTTTTCATAAAGAGGTGTGAGATATGCTGCGCTTACCTGCTCTGTCTGCCCCTCCTTATGTTTCTTTTTGCGAGGCACAAAGAGGAGCACTATTTTCTGTCCTCCAGAACTCCCATCATGGGTGACGTTTTCTACTTTTTAATGTTCCATTCTTTGTTTTTGCACCAGTCTGTCACGCTTACTATATAAATGATGTTTGACTCCAAGCTGACACTTTTCCCCGTGCGATTAGCAGATTTTATTTTGGATCCCCTCCGCCCAAAGTAGATGCGTTTTACTTTGTAAACACGTCACTCTTCCTGTTAGATCAATGAGATTGCCGCTAAATTGCTGGGTAGTCCAACTAAAATAGACCTTGGCCTAATCTCAGTCCGAGCTATGCAGCCCGATTTCGTAAAATTGTGTCGGGTGTGATCATCTCCATTGACTTTTAATGAGTGCTAAACGCCACAACCTCGTCCAACACGATTTTCTGTCCGGTTGGATGCAAAATTTGTTTCTGTGAGTTCTGGCCTTTAGGCTTATCTTAATTTCTGTGTTCAGGCGAGCGGCTCTGTGGCCACTCCTCCTCCTCTGGTGAGAGGCAGCATGACCTCCAGTAAAGGACCCCTTCAGGTACCAGTTCACAGATCAACATTCATACTGGAGTTTGTGTTTATGCTCCTTTCTGTGTGGGTGGCACTAAGTCTAAGTTGTTTATTGATAATAAATGTTTTCATTATTGTGTCTTCAGGTGACAAGTCGTAGCTCAGGCACAGTGATCCCCCCTCCGTTAGTGCGAGGTGGACAGCATGTCCCGTCCAAACACAGCTCTCAGATCGTCATGCCACCGCTTGTCAGAGGAGCTCAGGTTATTATTATTATTATTATTATTATTTGTGTTCCTAAAGGTCATCCTCTCTAACAGCTGTACCTCTGTATCTGTATACCTCTCAGCCTATTGCAGTGACCCCCCAGCAGATAGCCAGCCTGCGGCAGCATCAGCAGCACAGCGGTTCAGGCCCTCCCCCACTTTTACTGGCTCCTAGGGCTTCTGTCCCCAACGTCCAGATCCAGGGCCAGAGGATCATCCAGCAGGGACTCATTCGAGTGGCTAATGTGGCCAACAGTGTCATGGTCAGCATCCCTCCGGTTACCTGTAGCGATTTTTCTTGTGTGTAACTGAGATTTTGACTCTGTGTCTGTGTTTAAAGGGCTCCACTGGCCTTAAAGGCTCTTCAGTATCGCCCAGCTCCAGCGTCAATGATTCTCCAGCTAGCAGGCAGGCGGCTGCTAAACTAGCACTAAGGAAGCAGTTAGAGAAGACGCTGCTAGAGATTCCTCCACCCAAACCTCCCGCTCCGGAGTTCAACTTCCTACCATCTGCAGCAAATAATGAGTTTATCTACCTGTTGGGGTTGGAGGAAGTGGTCCAAAAGCTGCTGGAGATGCATGGCAGAGGTGGGTAACTGTTTCTCTGCTCACAATAATTAGAAAAGCAGAATGCCAAACCGACCATTGTCTTTGGAATATTCAGGTAATCTTGGTCCTGCTGCTGCCATGGCCGCCTCCCTTCCCAAAGAGCCATACACCTGTGCCCAATGCAAGACGGATTTCACCTCTCGCTGGAGGAAGGAGAAGGCTGGCACCGTCCTGTGTGACCAGTGCATGTCGTCCAATCAGAAGAAGGCCCTAAAGGCTGAGCACACCAATCGTCTGAAGGCGGCCTTTGTGAAGGCACTCCAGCAAGAGCAGGAAATAGAGCAGCGTATCCTCCAGCAGTCCGCCTCCTCATCTTCCTCCAGCTCCAAAAGCACCTCATCCTCCTCTCCCTCGCTGTCTAAGGGCGAGGTGCTGGTTTCCCCTCAGTACAAGCAGATCAGGACTGACCTGCAGCACAGATCCATGTCTGGACACCACTCCATGAAGCAGGTCTGTGTTCTATGGACTTATGTGAAACCAGTACCGTCCAATTGCTCAACCTTTTAAAGCATTTTACTCTTTTATTCTACAGAGTCATTTGCAGCACAGCATCCAGTCTGCAGTGAGCTCTCGTGGCGTGGCCCACTCCTTTACCTCCTCCCAGCTGCAGAACGCAGTGACAGCCGCACTGGGTGGCAGAGCAGGGAAACATGCTGCATCTCTCTCCCTGCAGCAGGGAGCAAAGGTCAGCGCTGGCAGCAGCAGTAACCAGGGCAGCATGGGGGCCTGGAGGAAGCAGAGCAGTGGGAATACAGGTACACAAACATGAGAAGAAGTTATGCAGATAAGATTGTTTTCTGACTTTATCCTTCTGTTTATCATGATTGACACAATGTCCTGCAAAGTCTTCATGTAAATGTAGGCGGGTAGGTACTCAGAGGAGTTTATATCTTTTTCATATCTGTATATGAAAGACATACTCACCTGGTAGGGGCGATACTTTAGTCATGAAGGAGGTTCACCCAGCATGAGGCCTCGGCCATTGCACCTCAGCTGTGTTGACCTTTGTGAATTCCCTAAATGTGGGAATCCAACTGCATCATTTGTGGTAGTGGGGCTCTGCTCACATGCTCTCCCCTGGTTTTTTAGCAGTGGGGTGTTAGCCTAGTGGTTAGAGCAGTGTGTTTGTGCTCTGGAAGGTTGGATCCCCACAGCCTCCATTCTGGGTTCCTGAGCAAAACCCTTAATCCCACATTGCTCCTCGGGCGCTGCACAATGGCAGCCCACTGCTCCCAAAGGGGATGGGTTAAATGGAAAGAGTATAATTCTTCAGTGTGAGATCAATAGAGTTAAATTATTATTATTGTTAACTATTTATTTTATATACATTTTAAAGGATGCACAAACTAGATGGCTGTGAAATGAAAGGGAAATTATTTCCTGTTTTTACCAACCAGTTATAGATTAAAATCTGAATGCGTTGGTGTGCAGGTGGCACAGTGGTTAGCGCGCACGACTTATGTACGCAGGCCTTAGTCCTCAACGCGGCCGATCCGGTTTCGAATTCGACCTGTGGTCCTTTCACCCTCATGCTGTTTGTTCCATTACTTTGGAAAAAGATGCTTATTTTCCAGCTGTATCCGGAAATCTTTTAGGATTTTGAAACTAGCTTTCCACGTCCAGAGGCTTGTTTTTTCCCCTTTGTGCTCAAACACAGCTGTGTTTGATAAAATCTATTTAAACATAAATTTAATTTCTCACCAAAGATTCCTAAATGCAGGTTTGTTCTTTCAGCTCAATTACACGTCATCTCCAGTATTCCACTATTATGCAGATTGGTTAAAAGTTTTCTATCTGAGCCAACCCAGCTGTTTGCATCGAATTAGGGATGCACGATATAATCGGCCCCCTATCGGCATCGGCCTTAAAACTGAACATCGGACATCGGCCACCCCTCCTATATTTAACCCGATATTTGATCAGCTTCTGAGTTTCTAAAGTCTAAAAAAAAAAATACTACTTCTTCTTCTTCCTTAAAAACTTCTTTTTTACAGACTTAAAAACTTCTAAAGACGAGGGAAAAAATATTGATACATTAAAATATCACAATATCTTCATATGCTGATATATTGCCATTTAAAAACACCATATCAATCTCTTTTACTAATGAAATATTGCTATATGTCATCGTTATGCTACGAAATCCCCTGAAAATTCATGAATTTTTGCCATATTTTTATATGTTGATATATTGACGCGGTATCGATCTATTTTACTAACAAAATCTCACAAGAATTTGCAAAATATCACGAGAGTTTGTAACAGAACGATGAAATTTCTCGAGATTTTGAAAGTAAAATAGATCGATACCGCGTTTTTAAAAATCAATTTGATATCAGCATATGAAAATATATTTGAGTATATTATGTTTCAAAGTGTCAGAAATGGATAACAAAACTGCTATTTTCAATGACTACTTATTATTGTCCAGCTTTAACATCGGTATCGATATCGGTTATCGGCTACATGAGTTTTTAAAATATCAGCATATCGGATATCGGCCAAAATCCCAATATCGTGCATCCCTACATCGAATCGTAGACTTTGGATTAACGCCTCCTTGGTTAGCTTAGTGTTGACCTTACAACAATCCCTCACACTAAACATGCATGCAGCCACACTGAAAGAGGAAAAAGTTAAACAGTGTGAGCGACCTTCTGCTGCGACCGACTGGAGATCAGGAAGAGAAGACAACTGGCTAAAAATCTGAATTTGGTTCCCTTCCCATTGGCAAAAAAAGCTGTCACCAGTGCAACAGAAATGAGGAAAGTAAACAATGGAGAGCAACATGTAAGAAAGCCAGGGCGTAGTTGGTGTGCTTTATTGTTTGTCTGAGTCCCTCTTACCAGAGCTGCTCTGTTTATCGAATATAAACAGAGTTGTTTCTGCTTGTTGGTGTTTGTGTGTTGATGTCCATATGTTGCGTTTGATAGTGTCACGTTATTTAGCGGGTCAACCCGGCTCTGGTGTTTCCACAGCATGCCGATCAGAGCCGAGGCGTTTTTAACGCGGGTAGACGCGTGTCAGTGAGCTGTTCATACTGCCACTAAAAGCCGATTGTTCCGGAATAGGAAAGAATTAATCAAGGGGAGCTCAGAGCTGGTTTTCATGTCAGGATGAAAGGGGGTATTTTAGTACCAGACAATATGGGAAAAAAGTTATATCACGATAGATTTCTTAATTTCAGTCGATACAAAATATGTCTGCTATCCTTGTATAGGATATAAAAGTCTAAAATACTACCGCCAATGAAGCCTATAACGGATTCCTGCGCAGACGTCTGAATATTTTTACCAGCAGTCCATGAAGCGCCTCCAAGTATAACATTTTCTATTTACATCTACAAAAGCTCCTGTTTTAATCAGGTCATTGTTAATTGGAATAAAGGCTTCAGAAAGTTGCGTTCATTGAACTATGTCATGTTTTACTGAAAAATGACCCTTTTGTGTGGTTTTGTCCTTGCAGGAGTGACGATGGCGTACGTCAACCCTAGCTTGTCTGCTCATAAGACCTCCTCTGCTGTGGAACGTCAGCGGGAATATTTGCTGGACATGATTCCTTCCCGTTCCATCTCCCAGGCAAACACATGGAAATAATGCAACCCTCCCCCTGCTACTGATGCCACAGCTTCTAGCCCTCCTAAAATCAATAACAGCCATGCTCCTTATCATTCTATTGTTTTCTATAGACTCAGATGGCCAGGATAAGAACTCTTGTCTTGTTGGTTAGAGGTGTATTTAAACATTTTCTACACCACCGTATGCTACCTTGTTCCTGTTCCCAATCATTTCCTCCATGGAGCTGTACTGCAACAGCTTCAGGGATGTGAGGAACACGTCCCAAATTTTTTGGATACCTTTTGCAAGACTTAGGACTGACTGAGGTCAAAGTTTGCTTCCGTTTGTCGCTCAAATCAGGAGAAAGGTGGTGCAGAAATCAAGACTGTTCCTGCTTACGGTGCATGCAGGGATTAACAATGATCACCATTATTCTCGCACCCTGCCCTCTACAGCCGAAGGCTCTCAGACTCAGGCCTGTGTGCTGGCCCAAGCGGACCTCGTCACAGGGATTGTTGAGCTCCGAGGACCATCCGTAAAATATGAACTGCTTTAGCTTTGCAAGAATAAATAAGATGCATAAAAAAAAAGATCTATCTGCACACAGACGGCCTCTTCTCACCAACCTTCAGTGTGTACATTGAGCTGATTTGTAGGGCTGAATGTTGAGATTTCTTCTTCTCTGTAAGTCCTACGCTGTGTTTGGATTATTGTGCTCCGCGACACTTCGGAAGTGGCCTCTTGTCGAGGTCGGAATATAAAAAGGCTAATGTTACTGTTGAGGTGGTTTTACATCTGCTGGTTTCCATTATTGTGGCCTAGTTTAAATTTTTTTTTTTTTTGTCTAAAATAATGCAAAAGAAAATGAATAAGGGTTTTGAAGACACTTGTTTAAAAAAAAAAAGGTGAAAAAAGAAAAAGGAGCATTTATTTGGAGGACTATTCTTATTGAATATTGTAAAATAAACCTTCCAAAGAACTGGTGGAGCCCAAATGGAGTCCCTTCTGCTAGAAGGTTTCTGGTTTATTTGAACCCGCTCCAGATATAAACATGAATCCATGCTAAACTGAGTGGGCGTCAGGAATGTCAGTCTTGACATTTTTTTGCTTGTTAGTCATAGGTTGTGGTGCATTTTTGTTGGTTTTTTTCCCCTTCTATAGACAAACGCTGAATTTATTTATAGGGTTAGTAAAGACATATGCATAAGCCCTACGTTTGAACGGTTATTGGTTGAAATGTTTTTTCCTTTGTGTCAGGCGACTCCTACGCAACCTTTAATTGGTTTGAGCAAAGCTACACTGCTTTCACTATGTAGTCAGGCAAAAAAAAAAACGCCCTTCTGCAACACATGACAAACTTCTTAGTCTTTAAGGTGTGTATGATTTCTGTAATGTCGATTAACAGGAGCTATAGTGTGTTTGAATCGGAACGCAGCAGCGCAGGCAGAGCTACAGAAGTAAAGTCTGCTGGCATCAGGGTTCGGTTCATTTTCAGTCATTGACACAACAGCCTGCTTTTCTTTCATCAACCACTAGGGTGGTCCAATTAGTCACTTTCCACTACATGTCTAATCAAGTCTTATTGGGAAGTTTTTATCAGGAACAAAAATGAAGATGCCGACTCAGCTTTTCCTCCCACTTCTCATCAATTTTTCTCCAGTCTTAACTGCTGATTCAGATTTTAACTTCTTGTCTTATTAAAGTATTATATCATGTAAACAAAAAAAGGTTGCATTGATTTCTGGTCAATCAGTTAAATTCAGTTGAGTTAAAAGATACAAATCAATGTAATTTACTTCCAGGTTTGTCCTTTTTTATTAATTACTTGGGCTTTTTTAATTCCTAAGTCCTTTTTATTTAAAGGTCTCGCAGCCTAATGTCCTTATGTGGGATATGGTGTTTCCACTATGTAAGCTAACGGCTGCATTGCTTTTATGATAAGGACTAGTTGCTAGTTTTAAAAAATTAAATGTACCTGTTACCATATGCAAATGCATGGTGGTGAAACAAATGTACAATTATTAAAAGTAGATTGCCTGTGAAGCTCCTGTTTTTGCATTTGAATTAGAGTGGAAATCTTCCAGGCTGTCTGTACATTCCTGACAAGCTAAAATAAATATCAGCCCACATCTTGTGGGAGCAAGAATTGAGCGACCTGGAATGAGCCCATTCCTCTTTGATACCCCACTGAGTGCAGCCCCCTTTGCTGTCCTGACTGCTGCCTGCTGCTGCTGCTGGTGGGCAATATTTTCACCATTCCTTCGTTTGTTCGGGGTAACAGAGCTGCAGTGACGCGCGAATGGACAACAATGTATAAGAATTTATTTGTTTTGGTTTCTTTTTCTGCTCTGGCAATTAATAAAACTAATTTTAACCCCTGTTTAATGACTTGTTTATATCTGTCTAGCTTTTATGGAGGAAAAAATACACTGGGAAAGCGGTTTATGCCTTAAGTTAAAATGCACATAACATATTTTACAATTTCATTTGCTGAGAGAAAAGAAGCCATTTAAACCAACATGGTTTAAATCAGGGGTCACCAACCTTTTTAAGGCTGAGGGCCACGTCAAGGGTACCGAGACGTAGAAAGGGCGACCATTACTGACCCATGAGCTGCAAGGGTTAGCATTAGCCTAAACTTTGTTCATTATCAACATATTTTTATTGTTTCTGTTAATTTCTAAGTTTATTTAGACATTGTCATTTTGAAATCTCTATAAATGATTAAAAAGAAGAGCAACAGAATAAAATTTCAAACTTACAGTAGCCCACTGGTGGGTTGTTCTTTATTTAGAAGACTCTGAGGGTCCCCCATGTGGTCCTTGAGGGCACCTTGGTGCCCACGGGCACCACGTTGGTGACCCCTGGTTTAAATGATCTAGGCCAAGTCGGGCTCCTTCCGAATAGTGCACATCCTTAAGGACCTTAAGCTAAAGCGGGTATGAGTTGGTGTTCTCCAAAGCCTCGTTCCCACTGAAAATACCCTGTTAACATGTGTTTTTCAAACATGAATCAACCTGCTAACAATCAGCATTTGGCGCCTTTCCCACTTGCAAAAAAGCTGGGTCTAACCGCAGGACCTCAAATTTACTGCGGGGGGGCAGAATTGGCACATTATCTGATCCATCCCTGCAAATCCAGTTTTTATAATGCAGGAGCTTACGTGAGGCAGATTCAGCTAAAAAATCACATGGACATGAGCTATCCACGATGTGCAAGTGCAGCGTGAAGATAAACTAAAAAGAGCTTCTTAAAACTACTTGTTGCAGAAAACGAAATGCCCAAAGAAAAATTTTTCCATATACACATTGATCTGAGGTAAGATAATGGAGGATTTTTCGTGAATTTTTGAAAAGACAAGCCCTCTCAACCTAGAAATAAATATAAAAAAATGCACAACCCTGTACCTGCTCCCCCAAGGGAACGCCTATTAAACACCTGAAAGAGCATGCATTAGCCAATTTCTTCTCATCCACGCTCTGTTTAAAAGTTTCTGTTTGCATTTCTCATACAAGCTTTCTTTCCAATTTGCAATTTTCTTTCACTATGTCAGACGCACCACCGGTAAGTGAAAATTGGGGCCAGCATGTCGGGCGGCCTTACGAAATATAGCACCAGAATGATTGACAATTAGGATTACCACTTATTTTGATGATCCACCCGGAAAAAGAACAACACCCACTATATCTTTAAGCTGCATGGGTAACCTACAAGTTTTTTTCCCTGGAAGGTTTACCATCCTATAAAATATGCTGTTCCTTTAACCACACAGTTAAGTTAGAAAAAGAGAGGGCAGCTGAAACAATAGCTAGAAAGAGAAAACGTGGAAAATGAAGTTAGAAAAGCTCAGGTTAACAAAGAATGTGTTGCAGTAGTCTTTGATTTGGAAAAAGCCTATCATAAGATGTGAAGAGAGACTTTGATTTATAAGGTATAACGGTAAGGATGGTGGATTAAAGGTATAGGGGATGATTTTTTATTTCCAGGTGGATCACCTAAATAAGCGCTCCTTCTAATTGTCAAGCATTCTGGTGATATGGTTCCCCTCCTTTAATTATGGCAAATAAAGAGTAAAAGTTACCAAATCCACAGGGTTTGTTTTTGGTGATGACGGGAATAAACACAGTTAAAGACCCACAGGTACAATATTTTCTTCCCATTTTAGACCTCATCAATTTATTTATTTTACAAATTAGTAAAAAGAGCAACAGAATGTTACAACATTGGGACGATTATATGAGCTGTTTTTACCATTAAATGATCAGGAGCGCCGTGAAAAGGGTCAGATCTCCTCTCTGGCTGCAATGCACGCTCCCGACACAGGGGGAACAGATTTTCACAGGGAAACAGAATTTCGCCAAGAATCATTTAGTGAGTTGACCTGAGGCTTCTTAGGACTAAAGAGAAAATGTTACAGTGGCGTTGGACATATGCAGTGAGGATTATTTTACTCCAAAGATCTGAATGGGTGTGTACATACGACAGAGTATTAGGTTTAGATTTGTATATTTTTTTATTTCGAGAATAAAACCTTCATATTATGAGAATAAAGTCATATAATTACGAGAATAAAGTCCTAATATAGCAAAAATAAAGTTGTATTTTATGCCAACAATTACAACAAGCACTTTCTTCCCTAAAATGAGGAATGTGGAGCATTATGTGAAGTTATACTTTGGCTCTGGTTTTACAAATAAGGAAATCTTTTCGCAGCAGCAGCATCATAATGGGAATTGTGTCAAAGCGGACTTAGGTTGCTGTTTGATGATGCTGGTCGGTATGATGGCTTCATTCTCGGTACTTTTCAACATTATTCTCATAATATTAAGACTTTGTTCTCCTAATGTTGCGACTTTATTCCCGTAATGCTACAATTTTATTCTTGAAATAAAAATCTCTAGCCTGGCCTTTATACTCTGTTATTTGTATATGGGCTCTAATCATAATAGCGATCGGAAAAATCACCTCATTCAGAAAGAAAATAATTTCCAAATTCAGATTCATGTTTATTGTAAAATATTTCAAACTGTGGTAGAAAACCTTAGAAAGTGAGCAGTGAGCTTTAGAACTCCCTCCTTTGCCTTATTAAATGCAAACTTTGACTAAACTCTTGTTTAGTTGAGGATGAAACTATATTATTGCAGAAAAAACGTGATTTGTTTGGCTAATTAGCTGCTGCAATTTGCAAGCTTATCTAAATCCTCTCAAACACGCGCATGCGCAGACCCATCGGTTGCCATGGACACGGAGCGCATTTCTCAAACCGCTCCTTTCTAACCGGGACCTTGAAGCTCGAACTTGCTGCAGTCTGTGGTTTGCTAACTTGCTAAAGATGACCGTCGCACCAGAGGACAACAACTTGTCGGGACATTGTCTGGAAGGTTTGTGTCACTCACTTTACTATGTTAATTAAAAAATGTTAGGTGAAAAATAAATAATTTGATGTTTTTTTTCATGAAGTTGGCTACATGCTAGGCTACATGTTAAGCTAGCTTAGCATGTAAGCTAGCTTAGCTTGTAGCATCTTCGACAACTCAGAGATTAAATGTTTTTAGTCGACTGAATTCCTCAGGAATGTTAACAGCGATTTAATGATTTAAAAATAACTTATTTCTGTTTGAGAGAAACACCTTTGTTGAATTAGATGTGAAAAGTTTGAAAACTAGATGGCGTAGCTCTATGAATTTTAAAAAATGCCATTTGCTCTATATGGATATGCTGGTGAAATTACATTCAATAAATATTTAAATATATTTGAAGGACTTTTAACATAATATATTATCAAGCCAAACTGTTTATTTTTTCTATTTAATAAAAAAGTTATAATTTTTAGTATTTTTTTGAAGTCGACTGAATTTAAACCCGATAAACAACTGGAAAAAAATTAGAAATGAAGATTCTCAAGTTGTTTAGTTTAATAAATGTGTTTAGGAAATACGTAAGTTTTAAAGTGTTTTTATAGGGTAATATGTATTAAAGTGATTTTTATTGCTTGGAAATAGGAGGAATTATAACAGAGGTGTAATGATACTAAACAAAAACACATTTTGGTTTGAGAGTATAATTTTTGATTAAGTTCATGTGGAAATGGTTGAAAAAAATACAAAACAAATTGTTTTAGGATAAAATGAATGTTGTTAAATACATTATAACTTGAAAGGGGAGGGTTTAAAAAAAAAACTGTGGTAAACATATTGGTCTCCATGGATACCTTAGTAGAATGCATTGAACACATTTAAGGCTTTTTTAAGGTGGCATATATTTTTGAATTTAATGGAAGGCCAAAGGTGTTAAAAATGTTTGATTTTAAAGTTTCTGGTTTCAAAGGATCATTTTTGGTTAATTTGGTTTCAAATCCTTTAAAAACAAGATGGCGCCTGGCCCCTTCTGACAGAGAACAAGCATGGTCTCCATGGATACAACAATAACAACTATAAGGTTTAAAATTATTGTGGAAAAAATGAGATCCTTTACATGTTTTGGCTGTAACATGTTTAGAAGTTGACTAAGTTTATTATATGTGCTGCCATTGCTAACTGTGTGAGGAAAGCATAGAGAATAAATGTTTAATCAAGAGTTTAGAAAGGAGGATGATATTTTTATGTTTACAGGGAGAAGGTAGAATTAAAACATCATTTTATAACAATATATTATTTAAGCGTATTTCTGAGCTCATTCTTCATTTTTCTTCGGCCCTTGTTTAAATTTTCAGGTGAATATAAATCATTTCATCCCATCTGTCACCAGTAATTCTAGGGCTTAGGCGTCATGACGTAATTACTTTGCGTGGCCGCCATGTTGATGGCCTCCTTTACCGCTGCTCAGACTACTGCCTACCATAAGCGTCGTTAGACCTATTTAAGGGTGGCTTCAGTCACCCTTTCTTTGGCATTAGCCACCCTATAATTATTTAGCTATTTAAAAAAAAATATTTTTTTTTTCTGTATTTATTTTTTCCTCATATTTTCCCAAAACAAATGCAGTAAAGCACCGAATAAAAGCCATAAAGAAGACAAGTTAATCTGAACAATCATAGGCGTAACTTCCTTAAGGACTGGTGTGGACAGTCCCCACCAATATTTTGTACACGTATTTTGCTTTCGGTGCTGTGTATATCTGATTAAAACCCCATTCATGCCGCTCCTCAGAAAGAAAATTAAAAAAAGTTCTCCCCGCTGCTCACCGTCCACAAACCCCGACAAAAAACTCAAAAAAAAAGAATCTGTTGCCTCTCGCTTTCTCCCCATCACCCCCCTCCGCCCTCTCCCCATAACATTTGAATTGAAGATATCCGCGGGTGACGGGTCGGGTTCGGTAGTCATCCTAACGGGTTCGGGCGGGTGCGGGTGGGTAAAACTCGACCCATGCAGGTCTCTAAGCTACACTACATTCAGTATCGTTGCCATAGAAACAGACAGCAGCGCCAATATATCAGAATTATACTAAAACACACGCAAATAATTTCCCACATAAAAAACAGGACTTTCAGTCCATTACAGTTTTCCGTTTTTAGAGGGTTGTTTATTTTGCGTTTATTAAGTGATGGCTGTGGTATATTAGCTTTCACTGCTATAAGCTTTCGCAGCAGTGATTGATTAATTTAAACACCTGCTCTACTGATGGTCTATCGGAGTTGGTGTTTAGGTTGAACATAAAGAACACCTTTTATTTGAAGCTTCTTGTAGCTACTGTTTTAATCCCAGATTCACTTAAAACTTTTTCCTGACTTTGATAGTGTTGCCATTCAGTAGCAAGCACTGCGCCCCTTTTTCTTTTATATGTACACGTACATTTAAGATTTAGCGTGTTAAGTTGACAACTCATGAGCAAGCTGCTTTTTGCAATCTAGCAGGAAGGTAAGGATAGGATCTTGCAGGTGTGACGTCACTCTGCAGGGGGTCCAAAGATAAAAGATTTAAACAATTTTGGCATTGGAATTTCAGATTTAAGGGAGTTAGAAAGTTCACTTAGTAAAAGTGCAAATAATAAATCTGATTACCGATTACTTTTAAGCTGGTTGAACATACTGCGACAGACTGGTGACCAGTCCAGGGTGATCCCACCTCTCACCCAGAACGTGGCTAGAGATATGCACCAGCACCTCCTGATCCCACTGAGGGATAAGGTTAAAGAAAATGGATGGTTGAACATAGTCCGCTCTCCCAGATTCTATCAAATCAGTATTGATACCCTCAGGGGCGGATTTAGGAAATTTGGGGCCATAGGCAAAGACAGGCAGGGGGCCCCCTGAGAAGTAAACCCATAAAACAGACCCATTCTACAGATAGAGAAATGTTAATAGAATAGACATCCATTATTTTTTCTAGGTTTTGTCCCTCTCTTCTTGTCCCTTTTTCCTCTCTATTTATCAGCGTTCTGATGGCATTTTAGCCAAAGGATTTTTATCAAAAACATAATTAATGTGCACAAATAAGGATTAGTTGTATTAACCATACATGGAAACAGAGTTTTATGGGGCCCTGGGGCCCTGGGCAACTGCCTAGTATTGCCTAATGGTAAACCCTCCCCTGGATACCCTGCTGGTGGATGTTCTTGACAGAAAGACGGAGTTGCTTAATCATATTCTGCTTAAGGCCCCATAAGATCTTGTCCGAGTCCTGGTTTAAAAGTAAATTAATTTTAAAAAGTGACCCAAAATTGACTGTCAATAAATGTTCTACAAAATTGATATATTTATTTGATTTCTTTTATTTGTACTGTCTGTTTAGATTTATGTGATATTTTTTGCACAAAATATATAAGTGAATATTGTAACAGTTATGTTTTCAACTGTAAGCATTAAATTGATAAATGTTATTCGCATTTTTTTGGCTTTATCCTTTCCAACAAAAAAAAAAGGCATTGCGCAGGTAGCTCCCTTTCCTTATGAGCCGTCCCCACCAACTTTCAACACAAAGTTACACCCTTGTCTTAGACAACGCCTTAGCAGGTGCACTGAAAAAATTTGGTGCGCGCTATGCGCGCGCAATATCTTCTAGGGGCTGAGCCACCCTTGTCTCTTAAACCTAGAGACGCCCCTGCTGCCTACGACTACCGCGTACTGTACTCCCTCTCAGCCGTGTTTTAATTTGATTAATTTCACCTTAACTTGATTTCAACCATGGTAAACCGTTGCTGTATTGTGGGCTGTAACAACGCAACACATTATCGCCGAGGGAAAAACATAGAAAATGGGTTCACTTTCCACCGCTTTCCTGCCTGGAGGCGTAACCACGTCCCACAATGCAACGCGGATCCCAAGCCCTATACAATTTTATCATTGAGGTCTCATTTTCTAGATCTTCAAAACATTCAACACTGGAGGGTTTCGCCTAAACCATTAAAAGTTCTGTATAGGACCCTTTCTTAGAGTTTTTAGAAGAAAAAAAAACCTAAATTCTTCTAAATAGTTTGCTAATGTCTATTTCTGCTCTGGGCTTTTTATGTGTTAATAAAGGTCTTTATTTCTACTCTAGGATGCACTGAGGATGGGTCTGATAAGCTGAGGTTCTGATTCTGAGAAATTATAGATCTGTAATTTAAATCGTGATGTTTTTAAGCCTTTATTTCTGTCAATTATTACAATTTTCTGCTTATAGTTATTAAACTTCAAATATTCATGATTATATTACCAAATCACCCAGTGGAACTTTTTTTTTTCTGATAAAGATAAAAAAAAAAAAGGGTTTATTGGCAGCTTAAAATGTCCTTTAATCTGAACTAATCTGACTGAATAGTTTGGGTCAGCAGCTCCCAAAGGGGGATGCGTGCCCCCTAGGGGGAGTTTATTGTAATTGCAGGGAGCGTAATCGAAATAAAATAAATAAGTGCACCATTTAGAGCGTATTTTTTTATTGTTAACATCCTGAAATAAAAATCTAAACCCAATTAACCAGTAAAAAAAAAGATTTGAATATAATATAAACTTACAACTTAATAGTTTTCTTGTGATTTAAAGGATATTGTAGTTTTTTGTTCTTAAATTAGCCGTCAGCAAAATAGCTGGTGAGGACCAGCAAAATGTCCTCCCTTTACAACAATCGTTCCTTAGTGTGACGGTGAAATCAGAAAAATGCTCCTCCCACTGATGCCGAGGACCATATACACAGATATATACATATATGGAAATACTTGTGTGTAGTTTTGTATGTATGTGTTATTTTAGAACGATTTAAATTGTTCTTTTGACACTAATCAAACCACTAGCATTGTTTAGATGTTTTTTTAATTAGTTTTAGCTAACAGATGTTCTTATTGATTAAATCTACGTAAACCTGAGTAACTCACACAGGCACATCCAGCAACCTAAAATAAAGCATTGAGTTTTGTGATTTAATGTTCCTTAATTAATGTTCCTGGTCTAATGATTTTTTCCTCATTGCTCCAGACGCCCCTGATCCCTTCCTGGAGCTCTGCATCTTGATCACTGATCAGGTTGATTTTCCTTTAATTATCAGTATAGAACTGTTCTCCAGGGACCATGAGGAAGTTTTTACTGAGGAAGGTGCAGAGGTTGAAGCGGTGGTGTTGGTTTATGAGGTGACAGAGGATTATGAGGAGGTTTGGTGGCTTCTTACTGGTCAGTCTCATGATGGGTCTAGTGACGGCTCCATGTATGATAGCTGCGATAGCTCTGAGGAAGAAGACGATGAAGACGGTGACCACCTTCCACCACAGGGCGAAGAAGACCACCGACCTCCAGGGACCGGCTCTGTCTCCAGGAGGAGGACAAGAGAGGAAGACGAAGATGAAGAGGAGTCCCCTGCCAAGAAGTTTTGTTGTAGGGAGGAATAGTGAGGAGAGGAATTTCATCAAGAATCTTCATTTAACTCTTTTAACAGCTTCTCACAATGAAGAGAAGCTGAGACTTAAGCAGAAGAACCAAACATTTTACCATCTTGCTTTGGATCATCTTGCAGGAGGAGTTAGATGTATTTTCTTGGTGATTTGATGACGATTGGAGGTGGATAGGCTGAAAGACTGGAAACAGTCACATTTAGATATTATTTATTGATTGGTTGAATATCTGGCAGGTCTAGGGATGCCTTAGGTAGCGTCTTGCACCGTGGCTTTTCTTTACCCCGCTGCTAGATTTTGTTTTAAGTTTTAGATGTTAAGAATTTTCCTTTAGCACAGACATCTGAGCAGAGACTGGAGATGTGCTAACAATTTATAAAAGGTGTTAAACATGAGAGCTGGTTAAGGCAGAAATAATCTAACATGCTCTACGTCTAATGACAGAGCTGGAAAATCTCCTAGGTAACAGAAGGCAAACCAAACAATCCACACAAACACAGAACAAAGGAAAATGGAAAAAATAAATAAAAAGACAAAAAACATAAATCCTGGTTGAAAACAGGCGAAGCACAAGGAGGCAAACCAAACCGAGGCAACAGCTGGACATCGCTGCTGGGGACGCATCAAAACCTCTAAGGAGTGAGACATCACTGCTGAGGACAGAAACACAGGAAGTCAAACTAAGATCCTAAAGGTCTAAAAGTGGAGATGAGGACAACTTAAAGTCTAGAGGCAGAGGGACAAGGCTGTAGTGGAGACTGATTAGAAGCTCTCTAGAGCAGAGCTCTCTAACTCCAGTCCTCTACAGCAGTGTTTCTGCAGCTTTCAGGCGCATCTCTCCTCCAACACACCAGGATCAAACAAACAGCCTTTTACCAGACCTCTGCAGAGCTGAATGACTGATGAGGGAAATCAGCCGTTCCATTCAGGTCTGATGGAGAAGAGATGTGACTAAAAGCTGCAGCATAGCAGCTCTGGAGGAGTGGAGCTGGACAGCCCTGATCTAGAGCAGTGCTGCTAGATCTAGATCTAGAATAGAACAGTGACACAGCTTGAAGTGGTCATCAGTTGAACTGGTCTCTGGGATGATGGTGAGAAGGTAAAGACGATGCTTGGAGGGACTAATTGATCTCAGAGCAGTTTAAAGCAGAGGACAGGACTGATGGAAGGATGTGGGTTGTGAATGGCGGCGATTGTTAGAACCCGCTTTCAGCTGTGACTTGATCTAGTTCTAGATGTTCCTCTGGTCAGTTAGTGAAATATCCCTCTGCAGAAATACTCTCCATATGATCTAGGCCAGTTCTGACCACACTGGATCTCCTCTGTGTTTTTTTAATCCCATGTCGGACCGAGCCTCTACAAGCTTTGGGCCGTCAGAAGATGCTGATGAGATCTACAGCGACCAAACCAGAGGAGCATCATCTGAGCTGCTGACCTTTACAAAAAGTGAGAGCATGTACAGTAACGAGCAACAATCATCCATCATTTAGATCAGTCAGCATTTCAGGTGGCCTCACTTAGTTTTTCATTTATGTTCAGACACTGTGGACGTCCAAAAGCAGAACTCCTGTGAGGAACCGGGACCTCCAGGATGCTGAGGAGCCTCCTAGTCCCCACCTGAGGACGGCACAGAGGAACACACCTGGAGTAAGCCTTTATTAACATGACAAACAGAGAACTCAACTTTAAAATTGGTGTCGAGAAAATTCTGTGGATTAATTTAGCTTCTTTTTTACAGGAGAAGCAGGTTGAATATGGAAGCAGTGATCTAGCAGTGGGATCTCAGTGGAGCAGAGTCCATCCACACGTGTTTGAAGGTATGTTGGTTGTTTGACTAGAGAGGCGTCACATGCAGACAGTTTCAGACTCTGAGGACACTTTGCTTTCATTGATGAAGGAGCTGAAGCAGAGGATGGAGAACACAGACCACTAAGGAGGAGAAACATGGCTCCTCTATTTGTCTCTCCAACATTCTGGAGTCCTGGACTGAAAAACATTGAAGACCCCACAACTAAACCATCAGTCTGCTCCACCCAGAAAGAAGGTAAAGAACCTTTATTGCTTCCAGATGTTCATCAGTATTGGTGAAGGTACTAAAAACAGATCTAGAACAAACAGATTCAAAAACCACAGCCATCCCATCAAGGTGGTCTAACCTTTAATCCTTATCTTTCCATCATGAATGGATGTTAACCTCAATTTTCATCTCTGTAACCAAACCTTCACCAGAACCAGAAGTTAACGGTTCAGAAGCAGCTTCTGATCCAATGTGGGAGAATTTCCCCCTGGTTTATGTCTGAAGGGTTTTTAGAACTTATTAAAGCAGAGAAACTAACCTGATGAAACCGACTGAAGACTCCAACAAATGCAGCATTTTCAGGCATTTTCTCCAAGCATCCATTGTCTACAGTTATCACTGCTGTTAACTTTAGCTTCTCTCTGTGTGTTTTCCTCTTCTCTTGGTGAAAGTTCCACCTCTCCCAGTGTTTCTGTGTTTAAATGTCACAGACTAGCGTGTTCTCTCACTAACTCCTGTTCTTCTTTTCCAGATGGTCAGCAGCTCCTTGGACCGGCGCCTCTGTGTCTGTTGGACGTCTGCTGTCCTGGGCGCTGACATGGAGCCGGGTTCTTCTGGAGGATCCTTCCTGCTTAAAGCTAGTTTTCCTCTCTACTGTCACCACTTCATTGCTCAGGAGGAGGGACTGCTGCATTCATGACTGGATGTGATTGGCTGAGCTTCCCTGGATTGAATTTTTTTCTTTAAACGCCAAAATACACTAAATTTATCTTCATCATATTGTAAATAGGATCTAACTGGATGTTTATAAATTAATTTAATTCTGTTTGTGTTGAATTCTGTTACATGTTTCTGTTTTAAAGCTCTCATGTAAATTGCCTTGATATGACATTAGCTGTGACTTGTTTTTATTTTAAAAGACTAAATTATATCAAATCTTGCCTAATGAGTCTGGTTCTCTCTGGTTCTTCCTGTCATTCTATCTTCACCTGTTATTTATTATCACTATAATAAAGGTTTGATTTTTGTTAAGGCTCTTGAAATAATTGTTTGTAAATTGGTTCTTTATAAATAAACAAACTGAAGTCAACAGGAGCAAGAGTTCTAATATTACTATAGTACAGCGCTTCAGCATATTTGTGGTTATTATTGTTTCTCATGTAAACAGAAAAATTTTTCTGGTTATCTTGCAGCTTCTGAACAAATTAGGTCTATAAACTTTGTGGTTGTTGTTCATCAGTGGCAGTTCCAGAAAATGTTTTCGTAGAGGCGGCCAGTTAGCTCTATAAAAAGGAGAGAAAGCATAAAACAACTCAAGTTAGGGGAGCTAAAATCAAACTGCACTCTGTAACAAACCATAGAAAACAGGTTTGTGGTCGTTGTTCATTAGTGGCGGTTCCAGAAAAAATCTATAGGTTTGCACAGAGGGGAGGATGAAAATTAACAGATGTCAAAAACATTTTACAGTCAATCTCTGCTGATCCCAATAAACAACAAGAACATGAATTCAAACATCTATATTTTCCAAATAAATCACTAAAAACAGACCAGATTTTCATGAGGTCCTTGGGAATGAAGCTCCGCTCATATTTATATATTGGTGGAAGTTAAATAAAAATGTTTTCTAAGTAATCACTCGACCTGTTCTAACAAATTCTATGTTATTTTTTTTATTTATTTATCTTTTTTACTTTAAATTGCATTAAAATCCTTCCACATATGAACCCCTCCCAGAGATTAAATACTGTTTGTGGTCCTTAAAGAGTCCTTGCATTGGATTTGGAAACGCTGCCTAATAAAACGCTCTGCTTTACCAGCAGCAACATCAGAGCCTTAATGGCTTTTTTTCATCACAGGTGAAAGATCTTGCTGGCCTGTTTTCTCACCTAAATTGTTTGTGAAAATTGAAAACCATCCAAATTTCCCTTGTTGGTTTATTTTAAAGTTTGCAATTAGGTTTTTAGACTTTTTTGATTTTTTTTTTTTTTTGTTAATAATGGGAATTAATTTTAATGATTCTTTTTTGTCTGTTGTAGAACAAATGCTGTGTTAGCCTTAGTTCTAAAATGCTCTCTTGGTTATTCCTTTGAATCCAGGAGCAGTGAAGTACCTGGGATGCTCAGTCAGTCACATAAAAAGTCTGAGGTTTTTGTCTTGGAGTTTATGTAGTAATTCTGAGTGGCCAGTAGATGGCGTCATTGCTTTTAAATTAAACTAAACCCAGTGTCCTTATCCCTTTAGAAGGCGCTCAGTGAAATACTTTGAAAATCTACATTTCCAGCCAATAGTGTTATTGGAATCCAGGACTAGACCTTATTACCTTTGTAACATTAAAAAATATGAATAGTTTGATGGAAAAAAATGAATGTCAATGTAATAACAAGAAACGCCAACTAGATAGATAGATAGATAGATAGATAGATAGATAGATAGATAGATAGATAGATAGATAGATAGATAGATAGATAGATAGATAGATAGATAGATAGATAGATAGATAGATAGATAGATAGATAGATAGATAGATAGATAGATAGATACCATGGACTGACTTTATTGGTCCATTTTTTCAGTTACAATAAACATACATAATTAAAAATAGATAGATACAATCATACACAACATCCTCAAAGCCCCCATCCCCTCAAAAACTTAGAATAAGCACATCATCATCTATTCGACACAAAACATCCCCAACTCCCCAAATAGAAATAAACTCATTCAGGTCTGACACCATCTTATAATAAGCAAATTCAGTCCTGAGACGTGCAGCCACCAAACCTCTAAACATCAGCTCAGCTTCTGCAGAACCTGCCCCCTTCATTTTATTCCTCCTGCTCAACCAAATGCTCATTTTAGCCTGTCCCAACAAAAAATTAACCAAACAAATTTTTTCCTTTTGTGCTGCAGAGTATCTGGGCCCAAAAATAAACAATTCACTGTTCAAATTAATTCCTAATGCTCCCACCCACTGCTTTAAAAGAGAAAACAGAGGACCTATTCTGGCACATCCTATCCACAGGTGTTCTAGTGTCTCCTCCGTCTGACAGAATACGCATTGACTCCCTGCCCTGTGATCAATACGTGCCACGTGTCTGTTTGTGGCCACGGCCCCGTGTACAATCCTCCACTGGAGATCTGCAGTACGTTTCTCCAGGGGGGTTTTGTACAGGGACCTCCAGCTGCCCCTGGGAGATGAACCTGGCGCCAACACACCCGACCACCTCGACTCCTTGACCCCTACCAGCATCGCTCTGTTCTGGACTTTCACTGATACCTCATATAGGCTTCTCTTTGGTGCTTCAGAGAAGTTCCTCAGTTCTGGTGTTCTGAATGACAGCAGGAGCCCGTCTGCTTCCTCCTGTTCCACCACTGCAGCACCAATAGACAGCTTTGGAAACTCCTCCAGATGCTCCTCTGTCTCTACTGCCCTCCTGAAGGATCCGGGAAGTCCACTTATCACCTCCTGCACCAGTCTGTCCATGAGGCGTAAGGATTTAGTCCCTGTTTCCTCACATATCTTTGCAGCACTCTTCCATTTGACCTTCTGCCCTCAGTCCTGCCAGCTTTGTCAGCCCCGCTGCTGTGAACATCCTCTGGATACTCTTAGAGGCCAGAATTCTGCTTCTTATGGCTGGGTTATGGAACAAAGGTTCATCGCCTATTGTCCCATACACCTGAGTGCAGTCCCTTTTACTTTTTAAAACTGTTCTCCAGTCATCCAATACTGACTGATAAAAACTGGAAGTTTGTGTAGTGTCCATTCCCTCCAAGTCCAATAGAAAGAGATGCTTATCGTAGTGTAGGTTTCCAATTCTTTGCAGCAGCAAGGATGCCGTTTCAGTCCAGGGCTGCTGTGATTTGTACAAGTATCTCTGTGCCGTCTGGAGTCGAAGCGCAGTTATGCGGCTCCTGAGGTCAATCAGCCCTTGACCCCCTTCCGCCACAGGTAGAAACAGCACAGCTGATCTAATCCAATGATAGCCATCCCATAAAAAGTCCACCAGTGTCTTCTGTATCTGTTCTAATATTTTGATCGGGGGAACTAGAACGGTGGCCCGATGCCAAAGCATGGATGCAGCTAGACTGTTGGCAACCAAAGTCCTCCCCCTGTATGACAACTGGGGCTGGACCCATTTCCATCTAGACAATCGGGCACCTATTTTCTCACCTATGCCCTCCCAGTTCTTTAACTGAAAGTCACCCTTCCCTAGATATACACCTAGCACCTTCATCCCCTCTGTGCTCCACTGCAGCCCGGCTGGTAAGGTCGGTCTCACTTTATTGTTCCACTCTCCCAGTAAGAGACCCTCACACTTCGACCAGTTAACCTTTGCTGAAGAAGCTTGCTCGTATAGTTTTAGCTTTTGTTCCAGAGTCCTAACATCTTTTTGGCAACCTATAAAAACTGTGACGTCATCAGCATATGCTGACAACCTAACCGAAGCATTTGTTTTGTCTGCTAATTTTAAACCTGATATATTATTCCTGAGGTGATGCAATAAGGGCTCAATAGCCAAAGCATAGAGCATCCCAGAAAGAGGACATCCCTGCCTGATCCCTCTCTGTACAGAAACCGGTCTGCTAAGTCCCCCTCCTACCTTCAATAATACAGTGATCCTTGAATACAACAACTCAATACATGAAATAAAAAAATTACCAAAACCAAAAGCTTTAAGTGTTTTAAACAAGTATTTGTGATCAACTCTATCAAATGCCTTTTCTTGGTCCAGAGAAAGCAGGCCTATATCTAATTTCTGGAATTTTGACAGATCTATGATGTCTCTGAGTAAAAACAAATTGTCCATTATTGTCCTATCAGGGACACAGTATGTCTGGCTGTCGTCTACAATTGAGTCCAAATATTTTTTAAGTCTATTCACCAGTACTTTGGCTAGAATTTTATAGTCAGTGCAGAGTAGTGATACCGGCCGCCAGTTCTGTAGTAGTCCCAAATCTCCTTTCTTTGGCAGTAACGTCAGTACTGCCCTCCTACAGCTCGTCGGTAACGTCCCGGAGTCCAAGCATCCTCCGAAAACGTCCATCAG